AAAGATAACCATCATGTCTAGTAACACAAGATCATTAGACTTTTTAACTTTCAGGCATATGTAGCAGTAGCATTTTATATTATAAAAACTTAAAATTTAGCACCACTTCACATCTTGATAGTACTTCTAATATAGTCCAAATAGCCTGATTAGTTGGTGTCTCTACAAGATGAGAGACTTATATGTCCTTCGATTTTCTCAGTTGGGCCCAAACTGGAAAAACTGAAGTTCAAAATTTACTGGAAATTTCAAAGTCTAAATTCTTTGAAACTTTGATTTTTGATTTTTTGAATGCCTGTCAAGGATGCCAAGAAGGCTCAAAATCCAAAATATCTGGTTGAAATAAGATTCCTTAACATCATGACATAATATAGACCAAATTTGATGATTGTTACAAGGTGATCATTCAAATGTTTGAAAATAAGCACATATTTAAATAACTCCTAGCTCTTAATAAAAAAAATCAGCTGTTTTCACTTAGAATCTAACAGAGAATTCAAGAGAACATAATAGATTACTCTAACATAGGATCAGATTCTAATTTTATGTCAAAGAGGAATAGATTAGTATACTTGTGATGTTTTCCATCTGCCAATGCCCTTGATTTACATTTTGCAATAACCTGTTAAAAATCTCCAAATTAAGATAACATTTTAAAATAAGGTAACACATCAAATTTCAGCCTGAGTTACTCCAAGCAATGTTGAACTATTTTCATAGACAATTTATAAACTAACCCAAATAGTTTTTATAGAATATAACATGCTGAGTATACAAAAGTTTACATTTAGATGCATTTATTTCATTTGCCTTTACTCAATTTAAATTAGCAGTTACACCTAAATGACTTAAGATGCTGCTATTATATCATATATCTATCTGATTTGATTAAAATTAAAATTGCATGCATCGAAAACAAGTACTATTTACCCATTGCTGTTTCACTGAGTACTGATTACCTGGAAACCTGTTAAAATAAATTGTGAAAATAAGTTCAGCAAGTTACAAAGCAATATTTTTAAAGGCAGTGATCTTACTAGTTTCGAGAGAAATTCCTTCAAACTCAGTGTCTAGTTACAGTTGCCTTTCTCCTAAGAACACCTTAGGCCCATGACATCATAGTCAGCCACTTGGGACTGCATCAAGACAGTTCCCAAAGGTGACAGTGAGCCAGAGGTCGATGCACCAAACCTGATTTTCCTGTCTGGCTTTCTCATGGTAAAACAAAAGAGCCATCAGAAGGGCAGGAGACCTAATTTGTTTCTCAATAAGCAGGGAGCCCAAAAGAATGGGATTACCACTCCTTTGCTATTCTTATGGTAAAACTGGAATAAGAGAGGGACAAAAGACCAGTTGGAGGACGAGGGCTGGAGAGTGAAAGCATGGAGACAATCATTCCCAAACTGATAAGACAGAGAGAGTAGACTTTGGACCAGGCCTGGTTCTAAGATAAAATTGGAATTGCTGGGTGGGAGGGAGAGGAATAGTGAGCTGAGATAGTGAAAAGCTGGGGCCACAAAGGTGGAAGGCAGAGGTTTTGGCTTAGGCACTTGACCTCTAGTGGAAACTTTGGAGGCCAATAAGACCTTGGCCAGAGAGCAGTACACATAGAAGGTTTAGATCAAAGATAGAAAAGCTTGAGCATATGGGATCTCCTTCCATTTTCCCGAATGCTCACAGAAGTGTTAAAGATCTTGAATGATATCAAGGTCAAACCACTCCAACTTTGGGCTGATCCCTCAGGGCCAAACGCGCCAACATGCAGGGGCCACTTTAAAGATGAGGCATTGACGTTTGGGGGCTGGAGCCAATTTGAGAGGAACCATATTACTTAAAGAATCAGATGGAACGTGGTCAGAGAAAAGTTCCCATTGCGACCTGTAGAGTCAGATCCGTGAATTCAAGCATTCTTGACTCCTGGCAGACTGACTAATGAGAGAATATGGGAGCAGAAGGCAGGGTCGTCACCCAAGCACCCACTGGAGCCCATGGCTTAGCCTGTAAAAGGAGAACAGAGGTTGAGTTGTCACTCACACCCACTATTGCCCAGACACAATGTCTATAGAGACTAAAAGCCTTAAGTAAGAGTTGTGGTTAGCGTCTAGTACTATGACTTTTACGAAAGTCAGACGAGCAATACCACTACTTTCGTAAATATCCTGTGGTGGCAGATATGTTTGTCAGTTGGATGAGTTGATGGTAGGGCATTCCAGGGCTTCAAGCAGTATGGTTCTATTTGTGCTATCATTTTTATGGGGGACTTTCCCTTAAACTAGGTCATATTAACATACTTAGCTCCAGCATGTTGTGACCATACTAACCAGAAATTGGTACAAATGCAGCTATGTCAGGGTTGTAGCCAATTTTTAAAACATAGGCATTGACTTCCTTAATGATTTCCTTATATCTCTTCTGGCTATATAGTGGCTCAGTGGAATCCACTTTGTTAACACCAAAAATTATTTATTTTATACCTGGTGTTTAAGCCAGAAGGCCAGCATACCTTTGTAAATATGAGCTTCAGATTCACTGAAACCAGCAGCAACAATCAGGACAACATTGTCAGTCTGAAATATGCCTGTGATCTATTTTTGTTAAGTCTTTGTGTCCTGGTTTATCAGTGAAAGTCACAGAATAGGGGGAGATGTCAATGGAAATATGCTCAGCTTTCATATGTAAGACCCAGGCATACCTGAAGAAGACATTTACCATCTCAGAATTCGCCTTCTCAAAATTTTCAATGATTTTTATGTTCATTGCTCTACATTTATGAACAAAATGGCCAGTGGTGGTTGACTTGCCTAATTCTGTGTGTCCAGTCACTGTGGTGTTGATATGAATCTTTTTCTTTCCCATTTTGACTTTGGTTTAGTGATAGTTTTCACATCTATGTTCTGGTTGCGAATCAATTGCAAAAAGCTGCTTGATTTTCTTATGTTGAATTACCATCACATTTATTAGGTAAACCCCACTTGTTTATGGTGTATAATGCTGTTGGATTTTGTTTTCTAGTATTTTGTTCAGGATTTTTGCATCTGTATCCATAAAAGATATTCGTCTGTAGCCTTATCTTTTGTGATTCTTTGTCTGGTTTGGAATCAGGGTAGTTCTAACCTCATAGAATGAGACAGACAATTGTTAAATCAACAACAGGAGTCACTGAGCACCTGCACCCCATGTAGGATCTCTGTCCTTAATGTGTTGTACTATGAGAATTAACGGTAAAATACTAGTCGAACAGTACTCTATATCTTGTGTGGTTGTGTGGGTGCAGTCTGTTGAAATCTTTGCTTAGTATATACTAAGTTGATCTTCTGTATATAAAGAACATTGAAAATGAATCTTGATGAAGAGTGGGATGGGAGAGGGAGTGGGAGATGGGATGGCTGCCGGTGGGAGGGAGGTTATGGGAGAAAAAGCCACAACAATGCAAAAGTTGTACTTTGTAAATTTACATTTATTAAATAAAAATTTTAAAAAATAAAGTTAATTAAGTTCAGAAAAATGCTTACAATAAATAAAAAGTGAAATCAACTTCGAGATGCAATGACTTTGATCAGCCATTGTCTCCACTGTTGAGGAACATATTTCATACAATTTGTCGAACACTTTATTTCTATAGAGTTAATTTTCTGTGTATGAAATTAATTGAAAATAAAAAATAGAATGAGACAGAAAGCTTACTGCTTCATCCTTTTTTTCCTTTAAAAACTTTTAAAAATGCTTATTTAAGTTATGCCAAGTTTCATGTATTTCATATATATAGATTTAGGAACATAGCAATACATCCCACCCTACCCACCTTCCCACTCACGCTCCAATCCTTCTTCTTCCTCCCTCCATTCCCACTCTTGTAAACTGGAAGTAGAACTTCATCTTTTTTGTTTTCTTTTTGAGGAGTTTGAGAAGGATCTATGTGAATTTAAAAATAATTTAAAGATTTATTTATTATTTATTTGGAAGGCAGAGTTAGAGAGGAGGGAGAGGGAGATGGAGAGAGAGAGAGAGAGAGAGAGAGAAAGAGAGAGAAAGGGAGAGAGAGAAAGAGAGAGAAAGGGAGAAGGAGAATATGTTCCATCTGCTGGTTCACTCCCCAAATGGCTGTAGCAGTTGAGGCTGTGCCGTGCTGAAGCCAGGAGCCTAGAGCTACTTCCAGGTATCCCACGTGGGTACAGGGGCCTGAGCACTTAGGCCATCATCCTCTGCTTTCCCAGGTGCATTGGCAGTGGAACTGGATTGGAAGTGGAGAAGCCAGGTCTTGAACTGGCACCCTTACAGGATGCCGCTATGCCACAATACGGACCCCTGTGCTAATTCTTTGACAGTGAAACCATGTGGTCCGGGACTTTTTTTCTTTGTTGTAAGGGTTTTGTTTGTTTGTTTGTTTGTTTTTGATTACTTAGTATCCTAGATATTTTTATTCATTCATTTTAAATTTTAAATTAACACATAATATTGTACATTTTTATAGAGTACAGCACATTGTTTCAACATACATACATATAGTATAAACTAATGAAATGAGGCAACTAGCTTTTCTGTTTTCTTATGTTTGTGTGTGGAGCTTACCAGCTCTTTTACAGTAGTCTATGGAGTAGATAGTATGTTATTGTTAGCTGTGGTTATCTCACAGTGTTGTGAAATATTGGAACTTACTACTTCTGTTTATTTGCTTTTTATATGTCTATTCAAATTTTCTATTTTGTATTGACTCATTTTTTGTTATTTGTGTTTTTATTAATCTGTCCATTTCATCCATATTACCTAATCTGTTGCCAATTATTTTGGAAGTTTAGTTCATTACCTTAAAGGTAATTTACTAAAAAGAAAGTGATTGACTTCTAAACTCTGCAATTTACTTTCTATATATTTTATAACATTTTTGTTTCTTATTTTTACCATTACTGACCTCTTTGATTTTCAGTGAATTTTTGTATACTGTTTTGATTCCTTTTTTTTATTTCCTTTTCTTTAATTTTAAAGGTATTTCTTTTTTTAGCAGTTGCTATATAAATTACAGTTAACATGTCCTATACTATGGAACTAGTGCTTTTCAGTTTTTCCATTCTTATGACAGATAGGATGGCTAGAAAGGGCTAGAGTTGATTATTTTCCTTCTTCCATGTTTAGGCTCTGATAAAACCACAGTCAGTTAAGTTCTGGAAAAATAGTTTTTCTTAGAGCAGAACTGGTTAAGTATATTATCTGGCATATTTCAAAGTGATTTATTTTTCTCCCCCTTTACCTGAAGAATTTTCTTTGACCTTTACTTTAAGGAGTTGATAGAGATCCTGAAGATAAAGCACATGAAAGCTTTTTTCCAAGTCCTCCATTTCCCATGACATGATCATCTGGATTATTTATTTATTTATTTATTTATGAGGCAGAGAGAGGTTGCTCCTATTCACTAGTTCACTCCCCTGATGCCTGCATTGGTAAGGCTTAGCTGGGCCAAAGTGGAAAGTTGGAGACTCAAGCCAGTCCTCCAACATGGGTGGCAAGAGTCCAACCGCTTGAGCTATCACCATGCCTTCCCAGGATCTACGATAGCAGAAAGCTGGAGTCAGCATGCAGGGGTGGGTATCAATTCCAGAATGGGACATGGGTATTCCAGTTAATATTTTAAACAGCAAGCCAAATGCCTGCCTACTGTCCTGTCTGCCCCCACTGCCAAAACCCAGAGTTCTTAGGTCCCAATGCTTGTTCCGTCTGAATCTCTAGAAATCCATCAAATATATCTCAGATTTTCCTATCTTGTATTGATTCCTTCAAGGTTTATGCTCAGTTTATACTCCAGTGAATTATGATTCGTTGTGTATGCTTTGATGTCCCTCCAAATTTCATAGTGGTCATTTATGCTATAACCTTTCTTTTTTCATGGATCTGAAGAGTTACTGATGTTCAGTTCATATTTTTGCTTGTTAGGATAAGGTAAGGACTTCAAAGTTCCTTGCATGTATAAGACATTGAATCTTATTTTTGTTGCTGATAAATGTATTTATAAATAAAAGTCTTCTTGGTTATTTCAATGAAGATTAGCAAGGGAGAAAATGGAGGGGTAGAACTACATCATAACCTGTAGATCTGCCTACTGCTTTGAGGCTTAATGACAGACTTTCTGTGATTTTTGTTTGCTGCCTAACTTTTGGTTGGATTTGGCTACCAGAAGAGTTTCTTACATAATTATTTACTTCTTTTTGGACAACATAAAATTACAGACATCTTCAGATAGTAAATAGATAGTACTTGTCTCCAGGCTTCTTTTTTATTGTTTAACCCTAGGTGGTTTTGTCCTAATCATAGTTGAGCATCTGAAGTAACTATATCTTACTGTGTTTTAGGGGATGGACTTCAATGGAATAACCTTTCTTCACCAGTGACCCCAGGAGATACCTTCACTTTGGCCCATGTTTTCGGAATGCTTTTATTTGATGCTTGTTTGTATGGCCTTGTGGCCTGGTATGTCGAGGCTGTATTTCCAGGGGAGTATGGTGTGCCTAAGCCATGGTATTTCTTTGTTCAGGTGAGTCCTAGTGCCTCTGTTATTTAGAGAAACCCTAGTACTTTTGTACCTGGTTTGCAGAAAAGGGAACATCATTGCCTTTAACACCCTCTTCCTGGTGCCTCACTCTTCTTGTACTAAGGTGTTTTGTTTTGTTTTGTTTTTTTCCTTCACAACTAAAACTATCATGAGTTAACTTTGTAACATGTGTCACAGAATCAAATGTTTTTCTGCAAAAGAAATTTCATTTTAATAAATATGTGGTAGGATCCTTTGATCCTATTGAGGAGGGTGATGAATTTTGTCCCATATCTGTTTTTTCAATTTTTTCTCTTTTAATTGACATACAATAATTATGCATTTTTATGGGCAATGGTATAATAATTCAATATATTTATGTATAATAAACAAATTAGGCTAATTAGCATTTATATCTCCTTAAGTGCTTATTTTTCCTGCATGGAAACTTTGAATTACTTTCTTCTAGTTATTTATAAACATATATAATAAATTGTTGTGAACAATCCCTACGGTGCTATAGCACACTTGAACTTACCTTGTATCATACTTTGGGTCATCCTCCATTGCCTTTCCCAGGCCATTAGCAGTGAGTGGGACCAGAAGTAGAGCAGCCAGGACTTTAACCAGTACCTGTATGGCATGCTAGCATCACAGGAAGTGGCTTTACCAAATACACCATAATTCTGGCCCCTTGATGAAAATTATTTTGACCTCAAAGTCAAATTGAAAGTCCTCAGGATCTCCAGGGATCCCAAGTAGACCAAAAATCCAAATAAAGAGACACAACCGAGCACAATGCCATGATTTTCACTGTGCCATTTTGAGATGATTTCATTTTATCTCTCTTTATTTACTTGAAAGGCAGAATGACAAAGAGACAAAAGTAGAGGGAGAGAGAATGAGAGGTCTTCTGTCTATGGGTTTAATTCCCAAATGGCTGAAATGGCTAGGGCTGGGCCAGCTTGAAGCCAGGAGTCAGGAACTGCATCTCGGTCTTCCATGTAGATGGTAGGAACCCCAAACACTTGGACCATTATCTGTTATATCCCAGGTGCATTTACAGAGAATTGAATTGGAAGTGGAGCATCCAGACTCAAAACTAGCACACCAGTATGGGATGCAGGCATTGCAGGTGGTGGCTTAACCCATTGTGCCAAAACCCTGGCCCCTTGGCTAGTGACATTTTAAATAGCACACATGTTTTGTGGTTATTCTTTAGGAATTTGTATTGTAGGCTTTTTGGTTCCAAATGTAGTGTCAAATTGTGTGCTTATAATCCATCTGAAAGGCAGTGTGAAATGAAATAATGAACTTTTAAGAGCATTTCATTTTTCATTGATATCCTAATGATTTTGGTTTTATTCTTTTAGACATCCTACTGGTTTGGGAATCCAGTCAAAAAGATGGAAGAAGATAATGAACTTTCAAGTTTTGTGGAAAATGAATATTTTGAAGCTGAACCTGTTGGTTTGGTGGCTGGTATCCAGATCCACCATTTACGTAAGGTATTGTTTCACGGGTCTCTTTCTGAATAATAATAAAAGTTAACCTACAGTATAAATGAAATGTTTGTCCTATCTGTAACTCTACTCTTATGTTAATTAAAGGTGTTCATCAGCATGTGTAATAGCTTTGAGAAGATAATAATGAAATATATGAAAACAAATAAAAATCTATGTTTCCTTTCTTCTTTCTTCAAAATAGAATTCAGCTTTGTAGATGATAATGGTCTCTTCTATGATTCTCCCATGATCAGAGGTAGAATCTATAACTGTGATGATTAGATATGTAAATATTAATTTCCATTCTCTGTTTGGTTTTATTTGATCTACAAGCTGTGCATTAGACTTTTTGACTGAATTCTCTTTTATCCAAGTGTTTGGAAAGGAGGTTTTATAAATTCCATTTTACCTGGATTAACTGCAGGCATGTATTATTCAGGTAATCCATATGTCTTCTGGCATTCTCTTGCTACTGTAGGAGCTACTTAAGCTTAAATCTAGCCTTTAATTTCACAATTTGTGGAAGTTAAAATCATTTTCTCAGTTTCCACTATATATATATATATATATATATATATATATATATATATATGAAGGAGAGGATTTTTTTATGTTGTTTGTTTTTCCCTGCCTCTAACAGATTGCATTCTGATTCTGATTTGAACATAGAAAGCCAGATAGGAAAATTAGGCTTCTCACTAGTGTTTTTAGGAAATCAAATTTTTTGAATATTTTAAAGTTTTAATATAGATTGGAACTTAATGGAATTTTATCAAAGAGCATATGTGATTATTTCCCCAGATTTACTCACCGATATCTTCTTGTTTCTCCACTTATACTTTACTCCAAGATTGCTCTTGAGACTTTCTCTGATTAAAAGCAGTTAGTTCACCACTTCCTAGGTCTTTCCCTTAAACCTCAGTATTGAGACCCATACAGTGCTCAGTAGAACAAAAATCTTTCATGTACTCATTATTTATTTATTCATTCAACAAATTTAACTAGTTTCCAGAAGCTAATTGGTACTAGGCATACAGTTACAAACAAGGCAGGTAAAATTCTTATTTTAAAGGAAATGTAGGCAGGTACCAGTTAGTGCTATTTCTGCTTCCAAATAGATTTGAGAAGGTCATGGCAGCCTATCAATAAAAATTGGGAAAAAAAACCTAGAAGTAAATGGATAAATTATTTCTGTCAAACAGCTATAGAAATAATAAGGACTAGATTATCTTTTTTGTATGCTCAAAACATTGTAAGTTTTATTAATATAGTGATTACTATATAATGATTAATTTGCTATTTTAGATTCATATCAACTGTCTTCATAAAGAATTAACTTTCTTGGCTACATTTATAAAATGCTGGTCATTTTCTTTTTTATATGCATTTTGTGATTCTTATTTTAATTTAATATTTTTGTAAAGAAGTTTCTCAAGGCTCTTATAATACTTAAAATTTAGACATTTGGGAATTTATATTAAAGTGGATTTAAGTGGCTTATGCTTGTATTAAAGAATTGTAGATAACTGAATGCATCTACCACATTGTCAAATTGAGCATCAGGTAATGCAAGAGGTTATTTTATTTGTAATTATTCAAAGGATGTCTGAGTCCACAGGTCTTTCATTTTACTTATCTCAGATTTTTTTCTACAATAATAATTTAGATTGAAGCTGAAAAATGTTCACTAAAATTTTGTTTTGATGCAAATTAAAGATGACAAGGTATGATCTGAGATAGCAAAGTGTATGCTGGATACATAAACTGAACCTTAAATAAGGCATTTCAATCAAGCCTATTTTTATGTATTTCTTTTTTAAAATGTTTATTTATTTTAAAATTTTATGTAAGGTATACAAATGTCATGTATTTCCTATATACAGATTGAAGAACATAGTGATACTTCCCACCCTACCCTCCCTCCTGCACATGCTCCTACCTTTCCTCCTCTTCCCTCTCCTATTCCCATTGTTAATTTTACAAAGATCTATTTTCAGTTAACTTTATACTAAACAAATACTATGAAGAAACACTATTCCTCAACAGTCGAGAAAAGTGCTATTGGCGCCGTGGCTCACTAGGCTAATCCTCCCACCCTGGGTTCTAGTCCCGGTCGGGGTGCAGGGTTCTGTCCCGGTTGCTCCTCTTCCAGTCCAGCTCTCTGCTGTGGCCTGGGAGTGCAGTGGAGGATGGCCCAAGTCCTTGGGTCCTGCACCTGCATGGGAGACCAGTAGAAGCACCTGGCTCCTGGCTTTGGATCCGCACAGCGCGCTGGCTGTAGCAGCCACTTGTGGGGTGAACCAAATGGAAAAAAGGAAGACCTTTCTCTCTGTCTCTCTGTCTCTCTCACTGTCTAACTCTACCTGTCAATAAATAAATAAATAAATAAATAAATAAAATCATCAATTCTCAAAATGTCAATTTTATTCCTGTAGATGACCTTTCAGGTATTCTATTGGTTACCACAAATCAGGGATGATGTGGTATTTGTCTTTTTGGTATTGGCTTTTTTCATTAAGTCTAATGGTTTCCAGTTGCATTCATTTTGTTGAAAATGATAGGATTTCATTTATTTTTTAACTGCTGTGTAGTATTCCATAATGTGTATATATACCAGAATGTGTATTCTGCAACTATGGGATAAAAAGTTCTATAGTTATCTGTTAGGTGCATTTGGTCTGCAGTGTTTATTAGCTCTGTTGTTTCTTTGTTGATATTCTGTCTAGTTGATCCGTCCAATGATGAAAACTGGGTGTTGAAGTCTTCCATTACTAATGTATTGGAGTCTATGTCTCCCTTTAGATCCATTAACATTTGTTTTAAATAGCCAGACACCCTGGAATTGGTTGCATATACATTTATTATAGTCATATCTTCCTATTGAATTGAAAATTACATAATGCCTTTCTTTTTCTCTTTTAACAGTTTTTGCATTTAATTCTGTTTTGTCTGATATTATTAGGAGGGCAACACCTGCTTGTTTCTGCTTTCTGTCAGCATGGAATATCGTTTTCCATCCTTTCACTTTCAGTCTATGTGTGTCTTTGTTGGTGAGATGTATTTCTTGTAGGCAGCAAATAAATGGCTCTTGTTTTTCTAAATACATTCAGCGAGTCTGTGTCTTTTAATTGGAGAATTTAGGTTACTATTGATAGATAACGACTTGGCTCTACCAATTTTCCATAAATATTCCTATTGTTTACTTTGTATTTACTTTGTACTTTTACCGGGAGATTTTTCTGCCTTCACCTTCTTTCATAATGATGACTATCGTTTTGTGTTTCTGTGTGTTGCACATACTTAAGCATCTTTTTTAAGGCTAGAATAATGGTGACAAATTCTTTCAATTTTTGTTTCTTCAGGAAGGTCTTTATTACAACTTCATAAATGAGAACTTTTTAGGTACAGTAATCTGGGTTGATACTTTTTTTCTCTTTTAAGACTTGGACTATGTCTCTCCGTTCTTTCCTAGCCTGTGGAGTTTCTGATGAAAAGTTAGCTGTGAGTCTAATTGGAGACCCTCTGAAAGTAATCTGACATCTTTTTTCCTTGTACATTTTAGAATCTTTATGTTTTACTGTTGAAAGTTTAACTACAATGTGTCATGATGCCGATATTTTGTGATCATATACTAGGAGTTCTATATGCTTCCTGTATTGACATACCTTTCTTTCTCCAAACTGGGTAAATTTTCTGTGAATAATTCACTGAATAGAACTTCTAACCCGTTGTCTTTTTCCACACCTTCAGGAACTCCTAAGACCTGTATGTTGGGGTCTTTTTAACAGTGTTTTTAATTTTTTCTAATTGTTTCTTCTTCTTTATTCTTTCTTCCTTCTCCTTCTCCTTATCATTTCCATCTCTGTCTCCGTCTCCGTCTTATTTTTTTGGTCTGTCTGAAAAATTTCCAAATATTTCTCTTCTAGCTCAGATATTCTTTCTTCTGCTTCACCAAGTCTGTTGTTAAGGCTTTCCACTGTAGTTTTTATCTGACCTATTGGATCTTCATTTCTAATATTTCATTTTGATTTCTCTTTAAAAATCTCAATTTCAGTGGAAAAATTTTCACTCATGTCATGTATGGATTACTTTGTGTATTTGCTTCTCATTGCTTCTGAGTAATCCTATGATGAATCTTTTGAATTCTGTTTCAGACATTTCATCAATCTCTTCATCTTCACATTCTAATATTGAAGTGTTGTGTTCCTTAGTGTGAGGTCATGTTGTCTTCCTTGTTCTTGTTTCTTGAATTTCTGCACTTTTTAGGTTGTGGAGATACTTGTTGGTTTTTTTTTCCCTCTGATGGTTTTTATCTTTGAAGTATACCTCTCTGGCTTAGGGGAATGTCTACTCTTTCAGCGCATATCTAGAGGTATGTGCTGGGTGTGGCCAGGGAACTATGGGGTCAGGATGACACACCAAGTTGGACATGGTATATCTCCTCTTATTAACAGAATAGGGGGTATAGTCACCTGTTTTGGTGTAATCACACTCTTTCCTCCTCTCTTCCAAGGTGAAAATTGCCTGGGTGTTAGCCCTCAGTGGATGCAATGCTCATCTGCACTTCTGCATGAACTGCACAAAGGATCTGTGAAGTAAACATGGATCCCACTACAGTAACCATCTCCAGGCAATCAGGGAGCTCTGAGCATGTGAAGCTGCACACAATGATTGCTCACAGACCCAGCTGTACCTAGTGCCCTCTCCTGCAGTCACAAAGTTCCCATAGTCTCAGCACACAGGACTCCCACAGTCTGCCAGCATCGCAGGTAGAGGCTTAACCACTATGCCACAAAGCCAGCCCCAAAACTATTTTTAAGAGGGGAAAATGGGGCTATTGGGTCTACACAGAAGACTGGCATGAATCAATGTATCTAATCTCATGATTTATGCTAAATATTTGTTGTGTTAGAGTCAACAAAATCTAGCTTACCATTATAAAGCATGAGATCTCTTTAATTTTGTATTTATTCATTAGTGTTTAATTTTAAAAATTTTAGATT